TTAATATTTTGAAGGTTCTAAATAGGCTTCGTGCCCTCATTTGCACCAATTTGGGTTCGGATTGATTCGATTTTGATATTGTTCGGCTCGTCTCTTCAACACATTCAATTTGACTATAAGTTTGTTGAAATCATAGTTCAAATGGTCACAAATTTAATTCTAGAAGTTTTTTATTCATATTTACATCTCCGATCAATATAATTTTTTGATGACGTATCAAATATACTACGAGAGTACTTAATTTATTCACTTATCTATAATATTTATCTCAAAACATATATAATTTTTAAGATAGCTCTATTTTTTTAAAAAATTAAATTTTATTTTTCTGCTCCGCTCATTATTAAGAGGAATTATTCTTTGCGGACATCAGATCGATCAGAGGCAAATCAAAATGCACTACGTCATCCTGTACATAACAAAAAATGATGTGGTGCATTCTAATTCTCCTTAGGATGACATTTGTATCCACAAAGAATAATTTCACCTAAGGCTGTCAAAATCGGGTACCAGGTCGGGTTTGGGTCCAACACGAAACTAACACTGCACTGTTCGACCCCATCCGAACCTGACCCATTTTTGCGAACGGGTCAATTTTTCGGACCCAAGACCGGCCCACTTCGGGTCCGGTCAACCTGAACCCAACCCGCTTCAGGCATGTTTTACTAAAATATTTTTATTTAACTCGATTTATTTAAACCTAAATCGAATAAATAAATAGAATTAATATAAGATTTATTTCAATCAATTTAAAATTAATCCAGCTTAATTCAATTTAAGTAACATTGTTTATTATTTTTTGGAAATACCATTTACTTATTTCATAACAATTTTTTTAAATCCTCCTAAATTAATTGAAAATGGGCCAAATTGGATTGATTTCGAATTTTAGGGTCAACCTGAACCCGAATCGATTTTACAAATGACTTGACCCAAATTTGAAATTTTATGATCGAATTCGAGTCAGATTTTCGAGTCGTGTCAAATATTGACACCCATAATTTCACCATTACTTCGCTCATTTTTTTCCCTCATTATATATATATATATATATATATATATATATATATAAGAGAACAATAAAAAAATTTTAAAAGATCAACGTGTGAAGGCAAAAACAATAAAAGAAATAGGAGCCCAACTCCTGATGTTATTGCCGGGCACTTTCAGTCTCTGTCGGCTATTTTGCCCCCAAAGGAGGAATGGAGAATAGTTTTCGAGAAGTTCTATAATATATTAATATTTATTTATTAATTATTTTCTCTCTCTTTCCTTTTCATTTTATTTTTTAATTTCCATTTATCCTATCTGTCTCTTTTTATAAACGCCTCACCAATTTCTTACTTGCACGCTTTCTTGTTCTTTGACGGAACCCGTCTTTCTCAAAAGAAAAAGGGGAGCATATCATCGCCTTGGCCGGGCTTGTCCCCCTATATAAGCTAGAGCTAGCTCGAACCCCAGAGCGGAAAGAAAGGAGCTGAGGGCACACGAAGTGGTCGGCGAAATTGCGACGTGGGAATCGTCGCCGGAGTTGTTGTTCCGCTAATTGGAAGTTTGATGACGCCGCCGTTGGAGCATTATTACATGGGAATGCAGGAGTTAAGCCCGGATGTCGGTTCCGGTAAGCCGTTTTGCTCGTCGCCGGCTTCGTCAGGAGACGGAGGGGTGGTGGAGGAGGAGAGCGAGAAGATCGGGTTGAATCTGAAGGAGACAGAGCTTAGACTTGGGCTTCCAGGGTCGGATTCGCCGGAGCGGATGGATGGCGTTGGGCTGAGTCTCGGTATGCCGAGGGGGATTGTAGCAGGAGCTAAGAGGGGGTTTAATGCTGCAACCGAAGGAGTTGGGCAGTGGGATCGTTCCCGTGGGAGTGGAACCGATGGAGGGAAGCTGTTCTGGCCAGTGGCGGAGAAGGAAGTTGGTCCGGTGGGGAAGGCAGTTGAGAAGAAAAGTAATGCAGCGGATCGCGCAATCGGCCCAGCTGCAAAGTAGGTTTGTGAGTATTGAGTTTTTTATACTATTCTTCTTTAATGGATTGGTTTGCTACGTGTCAGTTGTCTGACCTCCTTCGTTTATGATCTCTGTCTATTGCTTCATTTCGTTTAGAATACGATGACTGACTTGTGATTGGTTGTTTAACCTTTGAAATTGATCGTTTCCTGTTATGTTTGCTTTAATAAAAATGAATTTCTGTTTGAAATTGGATGGTTGTCTTGTGCATTTTAGTGATCGATGTAGCTAGTTATTACTTTTAAATTTGTATTTGAACTGTACCATGCTATGATTTTGGATTATTATTTCAGTTTTTATTCTGTTTAATTCCCTTCCTTGGGTTTAACTACTTAAATGTAACAGAGCGCAGGTAGTGGGCTGGCCCCCCATTAGAAATTACAGGAAGAATACTATGGCTACCAGCCCAATGAAGAGCAAAGAAGATGGTGAAGGGAAACCAGGTACGGGATGTTTGTTTGTGAAAGTTAGCATGGATGGTGCTCCATATCTGAGGAAAGTTGACCTCAAGACGTACTCCAGCTATAAGGAGTTGTCTATAGAGTTGGGGACAATGTTCAGTAGCTTTACTATTGGTGAGTTTGACTCATCTTCCAAGTTTAATTTTCTTTTATTCTCACCTTTGCAGATGAGTTTTGTTCGGAGAAATTATTTATGCCTTGAATGAATTATTGTTCTGATTAATAATATCCAATTAATTTGGAGGATAAACTCCCAAATGTTCTCCTAAAACCCTGCACTATATTTTTTATCTTAATTGTTTATGTTTCACTAACTGTATGGTAACATCAATAACTGGATTTTCGCCATCACATATTGTGACTGGCTGACTGCGATTTCCAGCACAAATAAAGAAACCTAATTCAACCACTTAGTAAAAACAAATAAAAATAAATAATATATGAATAAACAAATAATTTGGCTGGGCAAAAATTGAACTCTCGCATTTTTTAAGTTTAATTTCACTGGCTGCCTCTACCTTACTTAACGGAACTTGGCTCCATTGAAGGAATTTCTGAACAATTTCTCTTTGTTTGGTTTTATGAAAAAGGTTGTTTTAATAATTATGCGAATTTTATCTTTTACATTAAAATGAGTGAAGAACTGAAGAGTGATCCTCTTTTAATGGTTTTTTTTTTATATTGGAAGAGCTTGCTTGTGATCATTATCCTTTTGTTTGCAGGCTATTGTGGCTCGCAAGCTGTACCAGCCAAAGATGGATTAACTGAGAGCCGGTTGGTGGATCTACTTCATGGGTCCGACTATGCCCTTACTTATGAAGACAAGGATGGCGATTGGATGCTTGTCGGTGATGTTCCATGGGAGTAAGTACTATATTCAGTATTCATTTTTTTCCGCATAACCACACATTTATATATGTAGAGTGCGTATAAATAATTTTTAAGATCTTTGTTAATTCCGCTCTCATCGGATGCTTAATTGCTGGTAAATTTTGTCATCTAGTTATCCTTGCACTTCAGGAACACATATGTGACATTAAAATAACAAGTAAACGGAAAAATACGCATTGCAAACAGTAGATTATTCTTCCATGTAAACTTCAAAGTAGTTTTATTAAGTGGAAAAACTAGCCACTTGCAATAAGATTTAAACAAAAATTGTGTAAAGTTTCATGGACTTGTGCAACTTGTCACTATTTAATGTGTTTCTTTTATCATAGTAATCATTGTTTTCCATCTTCATTTAGAAGATTTAAATTTTTTTTCTTTGGTATAATTTTAGCGTGCAGTGTTGATGTTTTAGGGTGCATTTTATTTTACAAATAATTGGGTAAAATTTTTGATTAAATTATTTATTAAACCCACTGAGGTTTAGGGTGGTCGTTGGCGAGAACGATTGGGAACCCCCGATCCTAGGTTCGAATACTTCTACTACGGCCTCACTTCTTCAGTGGAGCAAAACAAGTGTGGGCCCGATTATGGTGGGTGCCCTCGTTAGGTTCCACCGAAGGATTAATTACACCGTCAAATGCTCTATTTGAAGTGACATCAGATAGATACCCTATTCCCAAAGAAAAAAATAAAATTATTAAGATAAATTTTAAAATATTTGAATTTATCTGGCGAGATGTGTACAATATAAATTTAGAATGATTATTTATATATTAAACTTAAAAGTTTTGTAGGATTATTCTAGTTAGAATATTCTCACAAGTTTTTTTTTTCCAAAACGCATTCAAATCTTTTTCTAACCTTTATTTTAGCAGATCTCGGGGGTGTCAATACTCAGTACCATAACTTTTTTTACTACTGTTGACTGGTTTCTCTTTCTCTTCACTTGCTTTATATGAAGAAACTCACCTAGATTTGTGCAGTTTGCCGTAAAGTCAAATTTACCTCAGCAATGCTACCTTTAGGCTTATTAAGACAAATAAAATATTTAGCACATGAAAATTGTTAATATAAAATTTTATATACAATTTATTTATTTGTTGTTATTAAAACTCGAAAATAGTTTTTTAAGTACAATAATTATATTATAATCAATATAAATTATCCTATATTATAATTTTTCTTAAGTCGAGTTTTTTTTCACTACATCTATAATATTTCTTTCTGTAAATGAAACCTGAAACCTGTAACGCTGCCTTTCTTTGTAGCTCCAAGATCCATAGAAAAGAGAGCCTGATGAAGCAGAATCTCCTTATTTCTGCCACAAAGTACAAACCAACAAAATCCCTGCAAGAGACAAAATATTTATATAATTAAAAATGTTTAAAGCTCTAATAGTGTTAGATATCCTAAAGTTTGTCTGTTTACATGTAGCCACCCAACTCCTGTCATAATATCACCCTCAGGAGAGACCTTTTTATCTAAGGCAAGTAAAGCTGAATATATAGCCACGCTGCTGTCTAGTTTTTTCTATATTTTGAAATTCATGTTCTGTTACCTTCTTATTAGTAATCTGTAACTGCTTTTATTTTCAGCATCAATCTGTACCACTTTGTTGTTTCATCAAGAATCTGCTTTCCATGAAGAAGGGCTGTGGGGCTGTTTGTTTGGTTGTATTTAAATTATATTTTGTTATTTAGTTGGATGCAAATCAAATATAATCAGATTAATTTTTTTGTTTGTTAGGATGCATCTCTCTTAATTTTTAACGGATGGATGCATCAGTAGGTGGATGCGAGGCACCTGAATGCAATGGAAATAAGGGCGGGCAGCGAGGGCAGACGGACTCATCGACACACCACAAATGTGAGTTAAGTCTAGCGAGGAACTTAAGATTTAAAAATCGTAAATATACAAAAATAAAAATTTTGGTTATCTTAAATCTTTTAAAAGTTTATTTTGTTTTTTTTAATTAAACATAAAAAAATTAAAATATTAAAAGAAAAAGGAACTGCAATATATTATTTATTGTGATTTTTGCCTTTTGGAAAGTATGGTGTTTTTCTTGTGGGTGGTAGACAAGCATGGTAGCTAGGGGTCTTTGTCCCACCTATATCCTTTGGTTAGATTGAGTGGTTTGAGTTGCTAGTCTGATGTGATGTCTTGGGGGACCAAAGGCATCTAAGTCCTTTTCAGCTATTCAATCAATTCTTGTGTCCTTGAAGTTTGAGAACAATGGGGGTATTAGTTAGTTAGGTCACTCAGCTAGATCTGTTGCTAGCATATTCTTTCCACTTGACTTGAGAGTTTGTGTGATTGTGACCTTTATTGTTGTGTGAGCCTTCAAGTCCTCTAACCAATGAGAGGACTTGAAAGCAAATTAAGCAAACTTAAAAGACTAGGATAACTTAGCTTCCTTCTTAGTCATTATCAAATCCTCTATCCAATAATCCTTAATTATTTTCATGAGATAGTATGAAAGGGCAGGTCATACCTTAAGAGAAAATTAAGCAAAGTTAAGATTTTTTCTATGCCCTACTTAAAAGACTAGGATAACTTACCTTACATACATTATGATGTACATTATCTTTGCACCTATCTCCTCAAGGATCCATCATTTGAGTGTATATGTCAAACACTTACCGTCCAACTTAGTAATCATCCTTAGACCCATAACTTGCCACCATCACTAACCCAAAAACTCATCCCTATGAACTGATCGCTAAGTTCAACTTCGCCTGCTGGCTCTAACACCCACGACCCTGTGCAATTCCATGGGTAAACCTCACCACACGTATCAAGATTTTTCAAATATTAGGCGTGCAAATTGTTGAAATGTTCAATAATGATTTTTTCCATGTTTTATCTGATTACATTATACTATTAACAATAACTTTAAAAAAAACACACACATCTTTTTAATAATTAAGAGATAAATGTTTTTGGATAACTTTAATATTAGTCAAGAAAATCATTTTTAAATAAAAGGCAGTTGTGAGAAAACCAATGAAATAAAAAAAATCACTAATAATTAGAGGAGACGGTTAAGATTATCAGCAGCTTTATCTGTAGCAATTAGGCACATCGACCATAAAAAGAAGGCAATGTTTTCAATCGTAGTATATAATTTACTCATTTGTATAATTTGAGCATAAGATTATTCATAAATACGGAAAATTATTACGTGCGAAGTGCGGACAAGGAGAACCGTTTAGATTTATTGCATATTTATTGAGTATTTACAAATACTAAAAAATTACTCGATAAATATTCAATTGTGAGTATTACCGAGTATTTTGTTAGTATTTGATAAATATTTATTAATTTATTGTGTATTATTTAGCAAATATTCAATAAATACATAACAATTCGGACGGTTCTTTAAAATTATTCATAAAGATCGTGTTCATGTTCAACTTGTTTGACTTCAAGCATAACATGGGCCAATTTCGAACAAATAAATATAAATAAATAATAAGAAGAATCCGAGATATATATATCAAACCAATAATAAGTCGAAAATAAATTGAAGAAGGCTCTATTTGTGCTTAACACGCCGAGTATATATACCAACATGCTTAACGAATGAATCAAACATGAGCTTTTTAACAAGTTCGTGAACGAAAAAAAATTTGGGTGACCTTATTCATAAAGGCTTTAGTGATATAAATCCCACTATTAAATAAGGCGGGTGAAAGGTTTGAATCTCCTCCAAAGAAAGAATCATAAGCAAGACCTTAATGTATACCTACTGCTTGAAGGGCCTTAAAACAGTCCAATCTCCAGTTATTCAAGCTTGCCAAGCTGATTAACATATATGCTGAGGTTAATTATTTAGCCAACATTTTCTGTATCCGAAATGACTACAATCGAAATCCTTGATTTATTGTAAAAAAATTTCCCAATATTTGAAATGACATCCTCTTATAAAAGAGGACATCATACGGTAGGAGTATATCTTCTATCATCTAGGTTTTATTTGGGACAACTTTCTTATTGTTTTCTAAAACAATTTTCTAATACAAAAATTTTTAGTTCAAAAAATTTTGTATAAAAAAGTTACTTTAAAAGTAGTAAAAAAATATCACAAATGAAACCTTAGGAAAGAGAAAAACTTCTTGCTCCATTTGTAATTGCTTATTGCTATTCTCTTCAATGAAACAATAGTTTATTGCCTCCAAACAGGATCGCATATTTGCCTCTTTTTCAAGAGAAATTATTATGTGCGGAGACCAGATGACGAGAACCATCCAAATTTGCTATGCTTTTACTACCATTTTATTGCACTTTTGCAAATACTCAGCAAAAGAGCGGCATATATGCAATTATAAATGTACTTTTGCCGAGTATTTGCTGCGTTGGGCAGCAAAAACGCAGCTAAAGCCCAACAAATATCCTATTAATTGAATATTTGTTGTGTTTTTGCTGCCTTTTCGTAAAAAGCTGCAAATATTCATCAAAAGTGCATTCATAATTGTATATTTGCTGTTCTTTTGTTGAGTATTTACAAAAACGCAGCAAATTCGAATGGTTCTCGCTGTCCGGTCTGCCACATAATAATCTACCCTTTTACAAAGACTATGAATTACTTGCTAGTCATGTCGGATGTATCTCTTTTTGACATTCTGCCAGAGGATTTATATTGAGAAATTATTAGTTGCGGAGTGCGGACGGGAGAATCGTCCGCACACTAGTATAAAACAGCGCTCGGTACCGTTCGGTACCACTGGGTACCGCTCGGTACCCTGTGTCTGTGCGGACAGTTCTCACCCCGTCTGCACTCCGCACCTAATAATTTCTCATTTATATTAAGTAGGCATTAGAGTACCAGGTTCTGAGGGTATAGTGTTAAAAAACATGTCTACAAGAAGAAAAGAGTACAACTCTCTATCATAATAGATCGCTCGTGAAGAAAATGACCAAAAGACTCCACAATATCAATGAAGCAATGAGAAGAAACCTATAATAACTTGGTACTCAAGTTGCACTCTTTCAATAGCAGATTGTTGTGGTGATGAAGATGGTCAAGAAGCCCTCAATGATGAATTGAGAATCAGTCGTGAAGGGTAGGGGTGCAACCGAGTCAAGTCAGCTCATGAGCCGGCTCAGGCTAGACTCGTTAACGGGCTCAACGAGTTGAGCTTATCAAGCTCGCGAGTCGAGCTCGAACACGAGTTCGAGCTCGAGCTCGGAAACTCGACTGGTCGACTCGATGGCTCGTCAAGTAGCTCGCGTACGAGGAGCGGGCTTCGCTGCGAGAGGGAACGGGATTGCGGGACTGCGGGAGAATGCTTCGCTACGAGCGGGAGCGGACTTCGCGAGAGCGGGATTCACGAACGACGCAGGAGCTCGACAAGCCGCTCGACTCAACTCATTTCGTGAGACGAGTAGCTCGAGCTCGGTATTTGGCAGTCAATCTCGACTCGAACACCCCCTAGCTCGAGCCCGACTCGACTCGTTTACACCTCTAATGAAGGGAAATCGAAATTGGACGAGAGCGCGCATCACCATTATGATATAATAACGAGACTTCGAAAGACATTCAAGAATGCAAGATGATAACTCAAATGAAGTTGAGGATCTTGCGCTGAAGGAGAACAAAATAGAAATACCTACCTCTGACAGCTTCAATGATATAGAGATGCTTGATGGGTGGGTGAAATAGCTTAAGATCTATTTTAGCTACTATGGCTATTCTACCAATTCAAACTCACCAAACATGCTTTAACATGGTGGAAGACTCATCTCATGCATAGGTGCTAGAGTGTTAATTAGGGGTAGGTGTGTAAGTGAGCCGAGCCAGCTTAAGCTCGACTCGTTTATGGGTTCGCGAGCCAAGCTTATCGAGCTCGAGCTCGTTCAGTAAACAAGCTTGAGTTCGAGCTTGATGAGGCACGGCTTGTGAGCTCGCGAGTTGGCTAGAATAATTTTTGGATTTTTTTAATATTTAAATAATTATTATTTTTTCGAGTTCGAGCTCGGTATTTAACTCGCGAGTCAAGCTCGAACACCCCCTGACTCGAGCTCGACTCAACTCGTTTACACCCCTAATTAGGGGCAATGCAAGAAGCATTTCCACTAAAAATTCCATCCTTTGATATATGATGAACAAAAGAGGAAGCACCAAGACCAAACCATGCAAGAATATACTACAAAGTTTAAGAGACAAGCCCTAATAATTGGCGTTTCATTAGAGGACATCTTTGTTTTGACCAAATGCACAACAATGCTGCTTTACAACATCTCCAACGAACTCTTGCTCTTCTTCGTAAGAAACATCGGTGAAGAAAGCAGGCTTTCCATGACCATTGAATGAAAAAGCAAATCCCAGATGGAGAATCTTCTAATTACCGTGAAGTCTGATGAGAGGTAGTGATTTGAGAAGGGCTTTGTTAAATATACTTGTTGTGTCCTGGAGTATTCGCGGTGGTAGAGAAATATATAGTTTAACGTCTTAACGTTGTACGAAGATCTAGCACACAATCAGATAAGAGAGAGGTTGTAACGTTCATAAGAGATACCAAAGTTTTTTACGTGGAAACCCCTGAAAAGAGGAAAAAATCACAGGGCCTGACTCAGTTTGAATGAATCCACTAGTATTTGTAGTTGATTACAAATGTGGCCCTTCCTTGGGAGAAGGCCTTGGTTTGATGTTACAAATGTACGTCATATAGAGCGCATTACATGGTGGGAGTTACAATAATCAACATAGACATGTTTGTTTGGTTGGAAGGGTCATAGTCGGCACAGACAAGGGTCGAAAGACCGTAGTTGGCAGAAGACCGGGGTCATAAAGACTGTTGTCTGGTGATGGAGGTCGGAACAATCATAATCGGCAGGAGACAGGGGTCCGAAAGACCACAGTAGGCAGGAGATCGGGGTCAGAAAGATAGTTGTCTGCTGATGGAGGTCGAAAGGACCATAGTCGGCAGGAGACATGGGTCCGAAAGTCTGCAGTAGAAGGGCAGTACTCCGGGAGAACTCTCGGCGTCAAGTGGTGGCATGGCAGAAGTCCGAGTCTCGGGTTATGGTTCGGTAGAATTTCGGACCTCATGTGGCAGTCCGGCAGAAGTCCGGGACTCCGGTGGTGGTCCGGCAGAATTCCGGGCATCAGGTGCTGTCCTGGTGGAGCTCGGAGTCTCAAGTGGTGGTCCGGCGGAAGTTCGGGCCTTAGGTGGTGGCCTGGTAGAGCACAGGGCCTCAGGTGGTGGTCCGGCAGAACTCCGGACGTCAGGTGGTGGTCCGGCAAAACCTAGGGCCTCAAGTGGTGGTTCGGCGGAGGTGAGGGCCTCAAGTGGTGGTTCGGCGAAACTCATGGCCTTAAGTGGTGGTTCGACGGAACAACGATGTCAGGCGGTGGTCCGGCGGAGGTGAGGGCCTCAAGTGGTGGTCCGGCGAAGCAACGACGTCAAGCGGTGGTCCGGCGAAGGTGAGGGCCTCAAGTGGTGGTCCGGCGAAGGCGAGAGCCTCAAGTAGTAGTCTGGTGGAGCAACGACGTCAGGCAGTGGTCCAGTGGAAGTCCGGCGGTGGTCGAGGAGGAGCGAGGAGGCAAGAGCGATCTTTAATCTCTCTCTTGCTCTCGTTCTTGGAGCCTTTCTCTCAAGAGAAAGGAGGAGTCTATTTATAGATTTATGGAGTGGCATGACCCGTAAATAGGTGAGAGATCAAGGGTAAATGGGGAGTGGTTGGATGGACGGCCGATGTTGAATCCCTTGATCTTGGACCGTTTGATGGACATTTGTATGCCTTAGTGATGTTGGAATTCAGTGATCTTAGGCTCATTGGATTCGTCTCGTCGAGCCGCTCGATTCGACTATAAGCACGTCATGTTTGGAAACTATTTGGTAATCCAAATTGTGGTTCGAATCCTCCAACAGCGCTTCGGACCCTTGATTTGGATCCATTTGGACTAGGATTGAGTCGATTTTGATGTCGTTGGATTCGTATTTCCAAGACATTCAGTTCAACTATAAGTTTGCTAAAATCGGAGTTTGGATTATCCCAATTTTAATTTTGGAAGTTTCTAACTTGATTTTGCTTCGAGATTTGTGCCCGATCAAGATAATTTTTTGATAACGTATCAATACTACAAAGCCATTTTCTTAATAAAAAGACCTTTATTAGGATCACTACAAGATCTCAATACATGATAGAGAAAAATAATAAAAACTTAATATAAAACTCTTAGAGAAGCAAAAAGAAATAAAAGGCTGTTTTGATTGACTCAGAACAAACATTACAATCATGAAACCACTAGAAAGGAGCCTTTTTTATGGCAATATTGAAGAAGAAATGGTCGAGTACGACACTAAACGCCAACAATGTTCATAAGGAACTGTTTGCCTTGCAAATCAAAGTCAAGGAGGAAGTGACCAACACCATTTATATTTATATAGAATAATAGGATGATAAAGACTAAGGTTTCATTTGGGACGGTTTTCTTACTGCTTCTTAAAATAACTTTCTAGTACAAAAATTTTGTATATGATACATCACTTTTGGTTTAATATTAAAAACTATCAAGCAATATTAGTAGAGGAGAAAGTAATAATGATGTGTGATAGGTGTTGATCGCATACCTCTAATTGTCGGCCCCCCCTTACCCATGATCGCACGATCTCACGTAACCACCCGTACGTACGACACAAAATAATGAAACCCTCCCCATTCACTCTCACGCTCTCAAAACCGAAAAAAAAAAAAGAGGAAAGAATGCAAGCAATGTCTCTCGTCTCTCCCTCAACTTCTCTCTGCTGAGCATAATTGAGATAGCAATTGTTCATACCTGATACTGCACTCGACGATTGTTGCACGCCGCTTCGTACCAACCCCCGTGCCCTAGCCTCAACCGTCCACGCAATCCAACCTCCAGCCGCCTGCCACGAAGCCTGCCGCGCCGCCGGCCGACTGCCGAGCCCAACCTCTAGCCTTCGAGTCCAACCAGCCGCCGACCAACTGTTCTTTCTTGCTTTCTTACCGTTATGTGTTTGTCTACTATAAAAGACATTGCAATAGACTTTTAGGACAAAATCTTTTTATGTATATTTTAATAAATTGATAAATAACTTAAAAATTAATTTAGAAAAAAAATCTTTTGAAAATTAAGGCCATCTCAAGCCACTTTTTAATAACATTTTCTCTCCAAGACAAGAAACAAGCTCAATCTAACAAGCGATCAAAACCCTCAAATGCTGATGTACTTTCATGATATAGCTAGTTAAGCATGATATCACATATAACTTTGTATTGTATATCGTATTCTTTAAGATAAAGTTCTTCTGTTAGGCATGAATTTTTAATACGCCTAGGGGTCTTCTCAATACTTTGAGAAGTAACATTCTTGACCTAGACATGATTATAACTCTGTTTGAGTAGCTCTAATTATGCATAATTGAGCAATCTCATTCTCGTTTTTTTTGTGCATAATTATATATATTGCTAGAGATTGCAAGCCTTACATCTTCCTGGTATATTCCTTAAACTTTGTTTGCCAAAGAATTGTGAGTTTTCATTCCTGAGTTCTAGATCAGCATGATGTAATTCATGATTGCTAACAAAGCATTTTACGGCTAACTAGGCTAAGTTGACTACCATCTTAGGTAAATGATTTCAAACTTGATAACCTCGGATGACGGACCCATGAATTATTGACTAAGATTATTTTTACATTTTCATAAACTTCGCATTCCTGGCCCATCACACCTTTGAGCCCATTATATTGATTCATTAAGTCTTTGTTGATTCAACGGCTCTAATCATATAAACTTTTTATGCGAAAAGATGATCATCTTACTTGATAACAGTGATTTACCCTTCGCCTTACAAATCAATCCATCTCAAAGCATAGGCTACACTACTAGGTCAACAATCTTTGAATCATAATCTCCCTTTTGATAATCTACCCTTCAAACAAATCAATATCTTTAAACAAATCAAGATAAAAAGCATGTTATATTTAACGAAAATTGCTTTGTGGCGCCCTCGAGTGTAATTAATCTTAGGGAGCCTAATCCTTTTGAGAGAGAGTAACCAATAGTATCTTGATTTGACTTGACATGACTTTAATGATATGACTTTTATACAAGTTTAGATAATATTTGTTGGTCATACCGCATTTAATCTTTTTTCTTGTCTCTTCTTATGGAACCTACTATACTCATATCATCACTTTTTTTCACCATAACAATCTCCCAAACTAGTTCCACCAACTCCACCATGGAGACTAGATTTCCAAGAAAGAGAGTATGCATGAATCTTCCTTAGAAGAGCTATAGAAGAGTTGATGTAGTAAATGACATGCATTATGATTATTATAAAAAGTTTGGAATTATTTTATTATTTTTAATTACTCATATAATTATATTTCAATTTTTTCTACTCAAGTTTTAAAAATTATCGTCTTATTAAATTAGATGATATATTTTTAAGACTTATCAAGCTGTATATTTCAAACTAATTTGACTTCAACATTTTCTTTCTCTAAATAGGACATTTATGTTTGCATTTGGATTATGAATTAAGAATTGAATTTCAATCAAAATTTTTGTTATACACCTATCCCCTCTCTCTATCATGTTCCTCGCTCTCATACGCATATGATTTCCTATGTCACTTCCCAACAAAAATTCCCTCTTCCACCTCTGGCCGTATTTCTCTATCAAGAGAAAATAAATGATTTCAAGTATCACTGGGATAAAAAATCAACCTCATGAAACTCCCACTCTTCACCTTACTCAAGGCCTAAACCCTAAACTCCAAAAACAAATTAAAGAGGAATATGGAAGAAATCAAAGCATTTGAAATTATGATCAGAAGGACACATCAAATTTTTATCAAGTTTAATCATCTTCTACATCATTTATTCTTCGAAGAAATCATCCAAATCACTTTTCTTGGTTCAGAGTTTATGAATATGATCTTCCAAAACTATGCATATCAGTCTTTTCGCTTAAAAAACTAAGGCTGTTTCCCCTAGGTTAAGCATTACATTGTCAAGATTTTTAAGCTTCATTGATTTTTTTAATTGAGTAAGGTGGTTGGATGAACAATTGATATAAAATTAAATGATTGCTTTACATTTTTGTGAAAAAGATAATAAACTCAACAAAAAGATTTATTTGCGTCATAGTACACTCTTCCTTCACAGGTCTTATCTATAGTAAACGTAGAAGAGTTGGCCAGATTTACTTTGCATGCATTTAATTTACATTGTATTACATATGTCAGATGAGTGGAGGAGTATGTTGACTCATATTTTTGAGAATAAAGGTGATGCACAAGAGTGCGAATTATAGAGGAGTTAAGTTAATCATACATTAAAACTATGGGAGAGAGTTATTGAGCATAAGTTACGACGTGATACTAATATCTCTCTAAATCAATTTGTATTCATGTTCATCACAGATAGGTCTACTATGGAAGCTATACATTTATTGAGAGGTCTGATGAATAAGTATAGAGAGAATAAGGACGATCTACATATGATTTTTATTGGTTTAGAGAAAATATATGATAAAATTTCAAAAGAAGTGCTCTTGAGAGTTCTAGAAAAGAAAAGAGTTAATAATCTTATATTCAAGTCATTAATGATATGTATACATAAGTTGTTATTTTTGTGATGAATACAAGATGGTTTAACAAATTATTTTCCTATTTCAATTGGATTTACACAAGGATCAACTTTAATCCGATATCTTGTTTTACTTTAGTCATGCATGTTCTTACTAGACATTTGCAAGAGGATATACCATTGTGTATGCTTTGTGCTGATGATATTCTTCGTGTTGATAAAACTAGAGAGGGAGTTGAAGGAAAACTTGAATTATGGAGGTCAATCTTAGAGTCTAAAGGTTTTCATTTGAGTAAATCTAAAATTGAATATATGTAATGTAATTTTAGTAGTAACAAATATAGTGGGTGGATTGTGACTTTGGGCGATCAAGTCATTAATAAAAGTACACATTTTAGATATCTCGGATCTATTGTTCAAAGTGATGGTAAAATAGATGGAGATATTATAAGTAGAATTCAAGTTGGATGGTTGAAGTAGAGGAATGCATCGAGCATGCTGTGTGACAAAGCATCCCTCAAACTTAAGAAAAAATTCTCCAGGATAGTGCCGGCACCTGCAATGCTTTAAGGCGCATAATGTTGATAGTTAAAAGAGAAGCATAAAATTAAGTTCAGAGATGATGATGCTTAGGTGGATGAGTGGCTTCGCTCTTAGAGATAGATTGTGAAACAATTATACATGTGAACAGGTTGGAGTAGCTCCAATGGAAGAGAAGATTTTAGAGTCGCCTTAGATGATTTGTATACATAAAATGCCGGCCTTCCGATGACCCATTAAGAGAGTAGATGCATTAGACTTGACCTATATTAAGAAAGATAAAAGTAGACCTAAAAAAATTAGTTAGAAAATATTAGAAATGACAATTTTTTTATTAGATTAAAATGAGAATTGGACTCTTAACATGACACAATAGAGAAAAAAGATTCATGTAGCCGACCCCACGTAGTGGGATAAAGGCATGATAACGTTGGGATGGCTTTCTTATCAAAATCAGCCAAGAAAAACAAAATTCCCAGCAGAAAACAGAAATTATCCCAATTAGTTCAAATTAAAAACCAAAATCAAACACCATAAAAAGTGTGGTGACCATTCATATTTTTCCAAACTTCAAACCTCCTATTCAAACTTAAATTCCAATCACTTACCATCTTTCAACTAACCACAAAAAAGTTCTAGCATCCTTTGCAAAATCAAGCCAATCAAAATGGCCAATTTCTCAACATAACAGAGAGTTTGGAGAATATAGAGAAGTACATAACACTCCAATATAGAGTGATCAACTGATCATAAAGGTTCACGAGAAAAGTTCTGCAACATCGCCATCATTAAAAAAAAAAGCAGTACTCGAATTTGCAAGACAGTAGAAGAGGAAGAATTCAATACAAGTAATGAGACTAAATTGCTAAAGAATCAAACAGAGAAATATTCATCCAAAATTAAATATGTAAAAAGTAGATTCTGAAAACTTAATCATACTAAAAGTAAATCAATCGATGAGTATGAACGAACCTAATCATCCTACTTGACGATGAGCCCTCTGGACCGAAGAGTAATAATGGGTTTCCAGCTCATTGAGGCTGACTGCCGCCTGCTCCCCGATCCTCTGCAGCAACCGATCCGAGCTTTCCTCCAGCTGATTGAATTCCGCTATTCGCCGCTCCACATTCTCGTTCAAAGATTCAAAGCCTGAGAAAATGGCCGTTTGCTTCAGCTCCGACACCAGCTTAAGAAGCGAGTCTGCCGCCTGAACCTGTTCACATCCCCCCATCGCTATAACATATCGATCGATTCAGAAAAAAAAAAATTGTATGAATCAGATCAAGATAAGATCTAGGAAGAATACCATTCTGGAGGCTCGCGTTTCCATCTGGAACGCCTCCTGCGCGTTCCGGACGGGAAGATCGTTTACCTGTTAGAGATCAGAGAAAGAGAAGGATGAAGGAAACCCTAATTTGAATTTCGGAAGGAGTAACTGAAAGCCCTAATAACGAACCCGAGCAACGTTCACAAGGAGGCCGAAGTTGTCGACTATATTGGCGATGTCAGTGTCGACCCTTTGCAGAAGGGATTTCTGCTTCTGCGCAGCCGCCGCAGCGGCTGCCGCCGTCGGTCCACCTCCGGCGCCGGGACCGCCGGGCTTACTCATCCTTAACCTCTAAGCAGTAAACGGAACTGGACTTGGGAGTCGCCGGCGTTTCAAAATGGAGAAAACGCATCGCCAAGATGGAAATCAAGCTATTATGGTCGGGTATTATTAGAATTATTAATAACTCCCATAATAGAATATTATATTTACAGATTTAATATATAAATTTTAACATTTACACCAAAAAATATTGAAAATATGAAAAATAAAATTAAAAAAATGAAATCTCTCATAATAATTTCTAACACAAAGGATCTCAATTATAGTCGGCGAATTTGAGTTTGATGGCAATTTCAGAGAAATGAAAAGAGAAATAAAGGGAAGAGATGATGACATATTTCTTTTGATTTATACCCTCGTTCTTCATATGTTTCAAAAGCTACTAATGATAGTCAGCATGGGAAGTGGCGAAGATTCATAATATGAATTGCTATTGTAAATGGAATTCAAGCTATTACGATTATTCGATCTTAATTGTGAATGAAGATGGACTACAAACAAAAATTTGCCCCCAAAATACCAAAAAGATGTTGTAGGCCTAATCACCTTCTCCTTGCTATGTAGACGCATTGGCCTAAAGATGAGAGTTGATAGGATTAGAAGCAAAAAATTTAGGATTTTGTAACTGGAGTAGGCAAATGTGGTTAGATCAAAGCAAATATGATGTGGAAGATGTTGGATCTAGATTTATCTCTGAATTATATACGATCCAACTACTAGGTTGTTGGTAGGTTATAACTAGAAAATCAAGTGAAGAAAGCTTGTGAGTATGATAATCAGTGGAAAGCTGTATTATCTCAAAGCATACCCCTACAACATTCAAAAGATCCAAAATATGTCTATTCATCATTTATTTATTGTATAAAGAGGGTTATAAGAAAGAAAACACCTAAAATAAAATTTAAAAAGCAGTGCATTGTGTTTATATTACATATTGACATGGACACATGGACTAGCATGATGATGTACATGTGAAACTGTATCTTTGATGTGGCCTCTCCTATTCGAGCAAGTGCTTTGGTTGAGACTTTGAGAGTGAATTCCTTGGACAAGTCTTCGGAATATAGGACATCAGATGAGTGTGTGCTAATGAGTACCTAGAAACAAGAAGCAAGATCCCAAGAACAAACATCTAGTCCCTAGGAGAGAAGGGAAAGTCCCCTAAGAGATGATAGTAGCAAGCTAAGGACAAGTCTAGCCAACAAAATGGAAATCATGGGCTTCAAATGTGTGTAATTCCTATAGCTTGATCACGGATATCTGCAGTATGCGAATGAGCTCGATCAGTGAGAGTTTATGTGCATAAGCCAATATAAAATCAAGTCAATCAATGGTCAATGAGTCTATGCAATGCGGAAATCCAGTAATCAATAAAACCAGTCAATGCAGCGGTAGACGAATCGATAAATCAACTCAATAAATCAGTACGTGAAATCTAAAGAGAATCCGTCGATCAATCAAATCAATCGTATCGAACCAATCTATCGTATCAAAGCAAATCTCTAGTATCAAGTCGGTAAAATCAATCGGAAAAG